GATAGAAGCTCCATGTACTGTTTATTGGATATGGTTGGTAAGGAGAAAAACATCCTGGGAACAAGACAAAGGAGATGTAGGGAACGAGTGAAATTGTAAAAATGCAGAGAAATTGGAAAACAAGAGAGAAGGCTAGAAGCTGCATGTACTGTATAAAATATGTAGATGTCGAACACAAGAATCATCAGGCAAGTCCTGGCTCCTGAATGCCTGTAACAAAAGCTATGGATGAATATACTTTTACCTGCACAATGATCTATTAAAGATATTCTCCTTTTTATAATTTCTGTTTTTACCATCAACAACAATGGTAAACAAAAATATTCAGGGCGACAAATAATATAAGAAGCATCAAACAAGTAAAAATACAAGGATTCAACCTTTGCTTGCACATTAACTCTGGACTTTTTGTTGTAAAAGAATTAGGCTCAGTGCTTGGTTTACTTCCAATTACATGTACTGTAGGGTTAGGTTTAGTAACTTAGGTTGAGGGTTAGATGCTGGATCAAGGGTTGAAGTTGATTGGTGTTAGGATTTCACTGTGGTATTAGCATTTAACTTGATCAAAAAGACATTTTGTAGACAAAATAATCAACCTACCTACTCTAAAAAAAACATGTAATGTAATTATAGGTGCCTTTAGAACATTAGAAATTTAGAATGATCTCTTACGTAATGTAAACATGATTTCTATAAGAGATACATGTACAAGAGGGTATTGAAATAATGAAATTGCAGTTGTGGTATTTGTGCATTTGTCGTTCATCGCATTCACATTGTAGGCTGTTGAAAGGCAAGGGAACTCTGAAGGCCGATGAGGAGAGAGGAGAGAAGATTGAAAACATTGTCTGCATACATAAACGTACATTATTGACATTTATGAAGAAGCCAGTGGAAAGGAGATGTGCAAGGTTGGGGAAAACCGCAATGTTATTAACTTACAAGATGTGGATATCTCTCATTCTGTAGAGAGCTATATTCAATGTAGAACAGGAGAGAAAGAATATGGTGGGGCAAGTGATAGAGTGAGAGAGGGAGAAGAAGAAGATGAGTTAGAGAGAGAGAGAGAGAGAGAGAAGAAGGAGGAGGAGGAGGAGGAGAGGGGGGGGGGGCCAAGAAGGTGAAAAAGAGGAAGAGAATGTGGATGGAAAAATTCATGAAAAAGAATTAACAACAGGAAAGGGAGAGGAAAGCAAAAGGGTGGACATACACTGTAGAATAGAGAGGGGGAGTGAGTAAATATGAAGAGAGGTAGAGACATGCAGAGTAAGGATGGAGAGTAGAAGAGATGTTAAAAAGAGACACAAAATGAGATGGAGATGGAGAAAGGCACATACAAATGTACAAGGAGCTCAAAAGCAGATAACAACAGAATTTAACAGATGAATATTGAATGAGAAAGAGGGAGAGAGAGAGAGATAGAGAGGGATAGAGAGTATTAAGTGGGAGGGGATTGGAATAGAGGAGGATATAGAGGGAGAGAGAGGAGGAGAAAGATGGGCAAAAGGTGTATGAGAGATGGAGAAAGGAGAAAGAGAGGAGAGAGAGAGAGATCGAAGGGGGGGGGGCACAAAGTGAGAAGACGAGATGTGAAGATCGTAAATTGGCCTTCGTTTTGCATTCATGCGATTACCAGTTATCTTCTGGAATGTTCACGACCATGAGTGCTGCAGCCTACTACTACTAGCATAGCACTGATTTTTTCTTCTACCCTGACCTACCATCCGGCGAGCTCACCATCATCACAGGCAGGCATTATACACAGGGAACGTAAACATAATAAGATAAATTGAAGTGGATGGCTGTTTACATGCCAAAGAGTCTCTCAGGGCAATTCTATGTAAGTGCCCCATTAGAGAGAGAGAGAGAGAGTATAAGTGGTTTGTGCCAAATCAAAAAATTCCATGCGTCTGTCTGTTGTGGAAAGGTCCCTCCATCGTCGAAAACAATTTTGAAACAGTCTTGGCAAATGGAATCGTTTGAGCCATCGGTTAAAGAGAGGATTGATTATAAGATGCTTATTCTATAGATCATCTGTTGTGAGAAAGAAAGGCATTAAAGTTATATGTACATGTACATGTACTTTGATGCAGTTAATGTCATTCTGGCACTCAAGTCTCAACATAAAAAAGTCTTAAAGCAAAATGACATGGCTGGTTTTGGATCAGTCTATGTGGTGTGCAACATGTTCTTCTAAAACTAGAATGAATCTGCTCGAGCCTCATTTCTACAGTGTAATAGATTTCCCAGGCATAATTTTTTTTTCACTTGTCAAATCATAATGAATTATTTCTGCAAAATCTTACATGTATACATGTACTAGAGAAGACCAGCACTTGTTTACTATCAAAAAAAGAAATGTCATGGCCACGTTTTGTTATGCATTTGTAATTCAATTCCAATTATAAAGCTGATGAATAAGAGTGCATTCTAAAAAGTATAGCCATTTTTCACTGTATCGTACATTTTTTTTATTTTCTTGATCCACCATAACTCTGAACGGAGCAGAAAGGTTTATCGTACTTTCCAAGGGGTATATTTTTCTCTTTTTTGTACATTTTGTAAATTTTTGTTTTTTTACATTGTAGAAAGTATTGCCATTTTTCAGTGTACTGTATGGTTCTCAATTTTCTTGTTCCACCATAACTCTGAAAGGTTTATGGTACTTTCCCAGGAGTATATTCCCCTCTTTTTCTTTTGTGAAAGTCAGAGCAAACTGATTAATTTCATTGTTGTTGCTAGCCAACAGCACTTTCTCTTTGGTCTACCTTCACAGACTCTTCATGATGTTGTTGGCAATCATTTTGGTGTATTTTGACCGAAGATACTTCAGTAGAATCATCAAGGTCCATGCACACACGAATGGGATTCAAATTATGAATGAATACATGAGATACAAATATAACACCTTTGACAACCATATCTGTATACAATTAACAACTTAATTATTCATACTCCTTGTAAATTTGATGATTTTTGTACTTTTTGTAACTCGAGAATGAAAGGTGGACTGGCTGAATTAGGGCCGTTGTTATTTACTTTCAGATGTAAGCTTGAAAACGTGTCACATTCTCAAGAAAATTTGTTTCAAATCAATTTTTCACATATTTAACAAATTACAAAACTTGGTATGGGTATGAATAATATAGTTGTTTTATACATACTGTATGGGGGAAAAGATGTATATTTTACTTATAATGTACAGTGTGACATTGCATGAATAAAAGAAATTGAGGAATGTTTGTATACACAGTCATAGGCAAATCGATATACAATTTAACTACTTTGAGATCATTGTAAACATGTCCATTTAAAGACTGAGCACTCTTGAAGACAAAAAGATGATTTGTATGGTTTAGTTGTAAAAAGTGTTTGTAAGATACATCTACACGTGAAGAATGAATAGAGTAATCCTGTGAGAATCCAAGTTTAAAGACATTCTCAGCAAGAACTTGGCTCTGACCTTGCTCTCTCTATTCACTCTCACTCTCATGCTTACAGTAGGTCTGTCATCATCAGCTCGAGATTGCCAAACATCCCGCTATTTTCAGACTCGAGATATTATCCGGATACTTGAAATCGCATCTTCACAAGACCGATACGCTCATCACAAACTAGCTTGAAAAATAATCTCGAGATTGGCGCATGCGCATTTCAGACACCAATTATACCAGCTTGCGGATTTGAGATTTTACCTGCGCTGTAAAAAACGTAAACAAGTACCAGCTGTGCATGCATGCAGCGCAGGTTTAATAGAGCATGAGCTTACAAGCTAGTTTATTTACAAACACGGAAGACTGGAAATCGTTGTGCATGATGGGATTGGGATATTTGACTTCGTACTTCGGTCTGATGAAGAAGGGCGCAAACTATCCCGCTATTTGGGAAATAACGGGATATTTTGCAAACAAGACCGAGATTTCTTGAGATATTATCCCGACCAAATATCCCGATAATTGCTACTTCGGCTGATGAAGACGCAAATTAGCTGGATAATTTGAGATCGGGATAGTTCAAATAGCAGGAAATTTGGCAATCTCGAGTTGATGACGACAGGCCTAGTAACTCCCCCCCCCCCCCCCCAGACTTTCTTTCTCTCTTTCTCTATATAATGTCTTAACGCTTTACACACTTCTGACTAAGTGCATGTAAAACTCATAGAGACATGATGGATGTACATTTCCAGAACAATGATATTGAAAACTATTTTTATAATCATTGTTTTTATTATTATTATTATTAATATTTTTATTATCATTATTTATTTTGATTACCGGTATTATTATTATTATACTAGAAAGAAGCTCTAAGCTCTTGAAAGAAATATTAAACAAGAAAAGTGTACACCATGAAAAGCTTGACATGAGAGCATTAGGAAATCTAAAAGAAGTTCTTATAAACAGAACATTTTTAAACATTTTTTCTTTTTGTGTGTATGTATACCAAACAGAAAGTGGGATTACTAAACCTAAAAAATAGGTGTGCTCAGCAACTATAATAATAGGCATTTCTATAGCGCTGTCTATCTAGAAATTCTATTCCGAGGTGCAGTAATTATTACCCGCTTTAGCCTAGCTGCCATATACAGCGCTCTAGCATTTCAAGGAATTAATTTCTGCCAGGTAGGCAGGTACCCAGGTACCCATTTACCTCACCTGGGTCGAGTGTGGCAAATGTAGAAATGCCTTTCCGAAGGACATTTGACGGGGATCGAACCACGACCTTTGAATTCAAGTCAAGTGCTTTAAAACCACTCGACTACGACACTTCCAATGCATACTCATTCATACAAAATTGTAAATCACAGTAAGCTTAACCCCCCTCCACAAGCCCAAGCCCAAGCCCAAGCCCCAAGAACTTCACTTGATGTATAAACAGTTTACGAGCTGTATATTTGTAAATTTTCTGAATCCTTTGAATAGTATGCATAGTCTAGGGTTTATGTATCAAGCAAATATTCACTAATGGCCCTCCTTTGCTGTTTGTCTATCCCTCAACAGCTGGTAAACATTTTCAAATCTTCAACATCGTAGCGGAGAAGCAGCTGTATCGCTGCACCATGAAAGACGAAGTGCAATATTGGAGCTGGCTCAACGACGACGTCATCGGCATCGTGGGGTCAAAGTTCATCTATCACTGGGACCTCTCTCCTCTAGGTAGGTCGGAACATTGCACTCTTCAAATAATTATTGGGCTAAAAGGAATTGTCAATGAGGAGAGCAGTTGTGTCTAAACTGCTCTTGGCAATATTTTCAAATTGTTGTTGTTTTTGTTGCCATTTTCTTTGATTTGTATCCAACAAAAAGTTAACCCCTCCCCCCCCCCCCCCCAAAAAAAAGGCACATAATTGCCCTAAAGTTGAAGGGATAACTATCCCAATGTTTGACTCTTTTGTATCCAACATATTTTACAGCATACCAGTACTTTATGTTATTTGTGTCCATACAGCTTGAACATGGGCTAAGTCATATCTGTGGTCCTTTATTGTAGTTTTAAAACTATTTTTTTTTTTTAAGGACTTTGTTGGGGAAAAAAATATATAGAATTCTTGTAACAAGTGACAAAAATTGTATTTCACAGATGACAACCAAACTGACAGTAAATGTTGAATGCTAGAAATATATGATGTGGATTATGAAAATCAAGAAAACATATAAATATTTTATTTTAAATTGTAGAAATGTCCAGTAGCTGATTAATAAGGAGAGGGAGTGAAAAACTTCAAGTTCCATTGTCCTCCCAATCACATGTTTTGCCAACAGAACACAGGATTTCAGTAAAATTGATCGATTCCAGCAAGTTTGGTCTTTTGTTCTTTAATTTATTAACAAGCGACCTTCTGTATGATAATAAACAAGTAAACATTTCTTGAATCTATTTCCTCAGTTCCTGTCAAAAAGGCAGTCCATCATAATTAGGATAGTTTTTGTTAAGATTTGAAGAAAGAAAGAAAAGCATTGTGTTCTTTTATATGTTTTCTACAGGATATCTAAGATATGACATTATGTTGTATGGCTTCTTTTTGTGTACTGAAAGAGATACCGGTATGCCATCAACAATTCTTAACAAATGCTATTACAATGAAACCTAATTTAACCTACAAAGTTTGACTGTTTACACTATTTTTTCACTTGACAGGAAGTAAACAATTGATGCGAAACCATTTAAATGTGAAACTAATTTCAACAGGAGCAAATTTACTTGTATAGTATATATATACGTCAAGCTTACAATACATCTTTTGCTATCTCTTTAGTACTCTCCAAGGGTATGCAAAATGTTTGATAAATAAAATACTTTCAGAAAATTCCTTGAGAAATTTAGGAAATTTAGGAAATCTGTCACATGGCTTTTAGAGCGAGACTCCTGAAGAGAAAAATTAAATAACTCTGCCTTTTTATTTGAATTTGGATTATAAGTTCCAAGGCAACTTCAAAGACATGATTGCAAATTACTCTATTCCTGCATTATAATATAAGAACATATGTTTACTAATCAAGTACCGGTATATTAGGTTATTATAATTCAATCACAGTTTGGCAAAAGCACTTGAAAAATATGAAATATGACATCAACTTTCTAAATCGGTCTTGAAAATAGATTTTGAATGTGAGCCAAAAATACTATTGGCCGTGATTCTTAGAGCTCATGAGTGTTAGTCATGTCAACATTGAAATTGCTGTTTCATTTCCATAAACAGGAAAAATCTTAACCACGATCTGCTTTCGTGCACGTGCATACGGGAATTTAGATGTACAGGGTGTATGTACGTGTAGGTGGCTTCGAAGGGATGACAGTAATAATTTGATTAAGTTTTTGTTTTTCCTCAAAGCTTTGGCAGTGCGTAGGGTGTAGGTGAAAGGTTTATGGTTATGTTTATGGTTAACCACTACTAGGGTGTTAGGTCCAAGGTTGAAATTAAGGATATGATTACTTAGTTTGTAATTAAAATTTAGCAATAGACCGGGAGCAGTTGTCACCATTACCTGCCTTGTACAATCCATTTGATGTTTCAAACAAAAGTGCATACCGGTACTTACGTATATTACACTTTATATGGATGTAGCAGGGCTGTGTCGAATGTATTCATGACCAATTAAGTGGATCATATTTAAGCCTGAACACATTTTTAAAAATATATATATATATATATATTTTTTGTGTGTGTGTGTGTGTGGGGGCGGGGTTAATTAGCCTGTGTTTATAAGCCACAGAATACTTTGATTTTAAGGTCATGGTTAAACACAGGAATGTTTTAGGGACAAACAAGGATATCTGCATCAAGGAATCTGAAGAATTTATAACATTGACATCATTGATGACAGTTCATTCAAAGTATTAATGTATTGCTATGAATGTGCATGCATCCTTTCAAGATTTGCACAAAAGCTGATTGAGCTTTAATGTTCATGTACTTGTACAAGTACTCTAGTAGTTTCTGTCATTTAGCAATTTCATGAATGAAATTGTCATCTTTCATAATGTTCAATTAGCTAATTGTAGTATGGATCAGTTATAGCCAATTGAAAGTGCTATTCATAAAATAAATTATGAGGAAGGAATAAATAAACCGCAAGGTATATATTGTATACCGGTATCCACTTCATACATGTAGATAGTGAAAAGACGGGTATACCTGGAGATACTGGAAAGATTCATACCCCCCCCCCCCCCCCCCCCCCCCCCGTCCCTCGTAATAGGATGATACTGCAGTGAAACCGGTCTATAAAGACCACCAAAGGGAGACCCAAATATGTCTTTATAGGCAGGTGGTCTTTATGTACAGGTTCCTTTTATATAGTACATGTTTCAATGAGAAACCATATTCAAGGGAAACAAAAAATGTGGTCTTTCTAGACAGGTGGTCTTTCTTATACAGGTGGTCGCTAAAGCAGGTTTGACTGTACATACATGTACATATTTCAGTCATATTTTAGTGTTATCGCAGGTCTCCCAACCTTCTTCGCAAATGGGGAAAACCTGGCAGATAAGTTTTCTTTCCTGCAAGGCGGGGAAAGAAATTTGAGATAAACGACTCAAATCAGAGAAAAATTGTATCCAAACAGGATATCCCCTGAACTACATGTCATTGAAGACATTTAATCTAAAGATATATCTGGAAATAATGTCATTGAAGACAGATATCTGGAAATACATACATGTACACCCTGTATGTATGTACACTGTAGGTGGGGATAATGATCCTGGTAATTTGAGACTGAGACAAAAGTCAGGGAAAAAATAAGAGAATTTGCTTATCATGAAATACTTGGAACCCTGAATGTATACTGATTGAAGATCGAATGAAAGTGATACTGGCTGACTAATATCAATTAATTAATATGAAACTAATCACCCTGTAACGTCATGACATGCCTTTGAAATCAGATATGGAGTAAGGGTACATGTAGGTACATGTATATGAACATGTAGGCCTTCAAGTATATATATATATATATATATATATATATATATATTCTTGATTACAGGATATGAACTTGTACATACATGTATAATTATTATACAAATGATTCATGTTTGCAAGTGCATTAGTGAATATGCACTTCATGCTGGTTAAGTCACAATTAGGATAATGAACGAGACTCATCAAGTTCATTATCAGGCTCATTGTGCATTTCACTAAAATCAAATGCAGGAGCTCAAACTGTATTATTTATTGTATAAAATGGGTCGACCTGACCAAAACGACAATAATCCCACATCCATTTGCTTTGAAAGACATCACAGTATAAGCGCAGCCTAATAGTGTAATGTGTGTGTCAGTTTATACTACCAATAATGGTAGTAGTTCCAAAAAGGAAACAAACATCATTAAAGTTTATTAGTACTATTTGATTTCTATAATTTATGTTGAAATAGAATAATCAGAAAGGTTATGGAAGCTAGATTACATGTATATGGGTACCAATACTCTTATTTCCTCATGCTGTTATTTTTCCTTTACATTTTAAAATATTTCATTCTCTTTGCAGGTTTCTCATGTCCAATGAAGGCTTTCCCACGCCATGGAAGGCTGAATTTCTGTCAGATCGTAGGATACAAGGCAGACCCTTCCTTTAGATGGTTTGCTGTGCTGGGTCTTTACAGAGATTATGAGGTCAGTATCAGAGGCAGATATCCTAGATCCAATTCTTTTAGGGGGAGGGGGAGAGGGGGGCAGCAGCACTATGCCAAATATTTCTGACAAAAAAAGGGGATCTTTTTCAGGTGCCTTTTTGGTCCAAACTTTGAAGTGCCACAAGAAAACTAAAAGGGGGGCTCCTTTCTTTTGTATACTTTTGGGTTTCCATTTTTTGTTTTAAAGGGGTTGGGGCGGGGGGCATGGGCCAATTTTTTCCCCTCCCTTTTCAATACTGGATGTTGCAACAATTATATATCAGGTGTAATCCAAATTTAACATAAAAATTTAATACTAAACATGTACATGTAACAACATCCATCTGTTTTTAAGTGTCCCTATTAGATGGTGACTCTGACTTATATATGTATCAAGTTTAGCCAAGATTTAACACCGGAAACTAACACTACACGTAACCTCACCCATCTGTGTTTTATTACCCCCCACAGGATGATTGCTCAAATTCTGTATCATGTGTAGAACACCAGAAACTGAAAACCATACGTTACACTATCCCTACATTTGATTGTCTAGATTTGATGCCATAAACTAACACCAAACATAACACTACTCATCTACATTTGTGAGTTTGGATGATGTCTAAAAACACTTGGTGCAGATCCTCCACCAGTAATTGACACCACACATAACACCACATAGATAGTGGGTCAAACTCTCTTTCAGGTGTAGGCCAATCTAACTCCAAAACTAAAAGCACCCATCTATTTTGTATAGCCAGATCCAACATAAGAAACTGACAACAAGCATACATGCAACCTCCTACCGGTACTTGTGTTTTAGTAATCTACTCAATAGTGACTCAGTCTCTGTATCAGATGTAGTCTAGATCTAACACTACACTGTTACTTCAAACCATCCATTCTTTTTCAGTTGTTCTTTCAGGATGTTGTGTCAAGCTGTGTATTCATCAAGCGTAATCCTGATCTAACACCAAACTTAACACCATCCATCTGTGTTTTTTCCACCCTACAGGATGGTGATTCAAACTCTGTTTCAGGTGTAGTCTAGATCTAACACTACACTGTAACTTCATCAACATCCATTCATGTTCAATTGTTCCTTTACGATGCCTTTACAATGTTGTGTCAAGCTGTTTATTCATCAAGTGTAGTCCTGATCTAACACCAAACTTAACACCATCCATCTGTGTTTTTTTCCTCCACCCTACAGGATGGTGACTCAAACTCTGTCTCAGGTGTCGTCCAGATCTACTCGGCCACAGCAGATAGAAGCCAGTGCATCGATGCTCAAGCCATGAGCTTTGCCACCTACCGTCGCAGCGACAACAAAAATAGCAATTCCGTCCTTATCATTGTAAACAGGCAAGCAAGCCTACAGGGAAAGGTAAATTATATTTAGAGAAATTACTCTCTTATGTATACCATGATTTCTTCTCTTTTTTTTCGTCTTCTAGTTATAGGTAAATTCACTGTGTCAGTAAAAATCAGACGTTCACACTCTAAAATCTGTATTCTACAGTGGAGCCTCCGTATAGCGATGTCCTTGTTAGATCAGAGTAAAATAAACCCAATTAAAGAATATAGAGAGGTTGGATCTGCATTGATCACCTTGTTATAACAGATACCTCGTTATTTCAGAGCTCTTTATAATGTAGCCTTTAGTCAAGGCACTCGTGCTGTATTTCCCTAAATGCGCCTGAATACATAGACTAATCGCGCGACGACTGTGATCTGTGGGATTAGGTGCGTCAGCATCTCGGCCTTTACTAACCTGAGTGGTTGTTGTAGTTTATTTCTTTTGTTTTGTATTATATTTCCGCTCCCGAATCAGGAGATAATTAGATGCAAAGCATCTTACCCAGAAAGCCGGCCAAACCGCCCCTTCCAATCTGATGCACCAATCAGAGTAGACGATTCGAGAAAACTTCATGCATATTCATTATCAACATATATAATCATAAATACATTTTTGAGCGGTTACAGAACATGGCGAGCGACGAAGGAGATCTCTTATCAAAGAGCCTTGAATATGCGGTCGAAAGGTTGAAATTATCATCTTTTAAGGAGTTACAATCAAAAGCTATAAAATCAGCAGTGAAAGGGGAAGATGTATTTGTTAATCTTCGAACGGATTATGGCAAATCTGCGATTTTTCAAGCCATTTCACTGTGCAAGGACTTCTTTGTGCAGACGACCACAGTCGCTGCCAGCACACCATCCCCATCGGCGTCTACTCCCGAAGCTGCCCAGAGTTCGGGGGCCTACTCACACCGCACTGCACTGTCCATTGAAGTTATCGTTTCACCTCTTATTTCTTTAATGAAAGAATGTGAACCAAACTTGTCACACACAATAAAATGATATCTTCAGTTAAGTCCAGTATAAGAAATAGCTAGGAAAACTCTTGCACAGGAACCATGCAGAATGTACTGCATAGTAGATATCTACCCTTTTTTGCACATCTATTACATTATAGACCTAAGCAGAATTACCAGAATTTGATGTCCTTTTCATTATTTTAATTCACTTGCATGCAGCTAGCTCAGCTAGCCCTGCAAATTCAAAGCTCCATGAACGCATCGTTTTCACACGTACACAGATATTCACGTGTTGTACAATAACAATTCCGACCAGCTGATCGTGCGAACCACTAGAGTCTATGCGTAGGTTAAAATGAAAAACAAGGGAACAAAATTTTACTATGAATCTACTAAAGTAGCAAAATAATAAATACCCTAGTCAATAAGTAGAATATTGTTTTTGATAAATTCATATTTTATTCGAAATTGAACTAGATATTATTTTATTTTTTTAGTACATTTGAATACCGATTCCCCCACAATTTCATGGACGAAGCCATTTTAAACACCGCGCGGTTAAAACAATTAGGATTGGCCACGATCATCACTAGCTGCTGTATATGTAAGACCCTCATGCATATGCACATAATGATGAGCTCCGCAATTTAGCAAAGGTCAAGCCGCTGAAGCGGCTCGGTCCAGCGATCACTGCTGTAAAGCCACACTGCGTTAGTCTATTTTCAGACCCTGCTCGGCAGACAAGCAGCGCGCGAGGCCTTGTCCAAAGGCTATTTATAATGAGGTTCCACTGTTCCATTGATACACATCATTGAATTGGGTCCTCACTTTGTTTCACTCGTTTGACCCATAGATACACATCATTCAATTGGGTCCTCACTTTGTATCATTTGTTTGACCCATAGATACACATCATTGAATTGGGTCTTCACTTTGTATAACTCTCTTGACCCATATATCCACATAATTGAATTAGGTCCTCACTTTGTATAACTCTCTTGACCCATATATACACATCATTCAATTCGGTCCTCACTTTGTATACACTTCATTGAACGTGGTCCTCACTTTCTCTCATTCTTTTACTTAGTTACACATCATTGAATTGGGTCCTCACTTGGTATACACTTCATTGAACGTGGTCCTCACTTTGTATTATCCTTTTGACTCATAAATACACATCATTGAACTGGGTCCTCACTTTGTATACACTTCATTGAACGTGGTCCTCACTTTCTCTCATTCTTTTACTTAGTTACACATCATTGAGCTTGGTCCTTACTTAGATGGTAACTGTTGCTTGACCAACCATTCAGAACAAGTCAACTTTGATGATGATGAGAGATACGACTTTCCAGTCTCAGTCCAGGTAATGCATCGTATAAATATTAGGGCCCTGTTTCATAACTTTTGTTGTAAAAAACAAGTATATAATTATTATAAGTTATTGAAATCAATGCAATTTGATTGGCCGTGGGCAATTTTTTTTTTTGAGAACTTTTGCATCTGTTTTCTATTATAAATTTGTGCAAAGCCAGATCATGAAAACTAGGAAGATCAATGTTTTAAAGCCTATCTGCACTAGTTTGGCCAGGAGGGATTAGACCTCCCTGCATGGTCACTGACGGATGGTTATCTCATCAAATTAGCTCTCGATTAAAATAATAAAAAGGGGATCATGGGGGATCAACAGGTACCGCTTAGGCATTGTTGGCTATATAGAGGGCGCTAGTGGCTACAAGAAGTGCAGTCCCGCTTTAATATGATTTGAACTATTATTAAGGAGAGGGGTCAGGAGGAATATATGAACAAAATTATGTACAATACTTGAGGTGAAAGATGTGTCCTAATTGCATATTAGGAAACAGACCAGAGCTAAAGAGACCAAGCAAAACAGAGAGCAAAAATAATTATGACCCATACTAAAAAAGAAAGATTTAGGTGTACTCTAATCTCTAAAGCAAAAGCAAAAAATAAAGCATGCAGTAATTGCATGTATTGCTGGTCTGACTAAGTCTGCGAAAACTTCAGAGATGGTAGACAGCTTTAAGGACAAATTAAAATAACATTCTAGATGTATTTCCCCCCCCCCCCCCCTCACTTTTTAAAAGCATTAAATCCTTGTGAACACCTTGCATGCAATAACTGTTGTTAAAAATTTCAGGCATTTCTATTGGGTACCAGACAGAAATGGGTGGTCGGCATATTGTATCCTTTCATTGGCAATAAAGTAGACTCCAGTGGGTAATGTTTCAGTTATTTTCATTGAGAAAAGATTAAAAGAGCATACTGATCAAAACATTAAGAACCTCTTACAGCTCATTGTGGTGCTCACCATACCTTTCAGGGCTCTATATTCCATTGAAAGAATACAAGGTGTAGGTGTGAAAGCTTTACCCCAATTTTTGAATACTGTAATTAACGGTGTATAAACCGCCCTCGTGTATTAACCGCACCCCTCTTTTTTGCCCTGTCGGCAGCAAGCCAGGTCCGTGTTAAAAAACCCACGCGGGAAGGCCTTTCATTGCTGAATGTGTATTAGATCATTAATGTAAATTTAAAAAACAGTAGAGGACCTAGGATAGAACCTTGTGGTACGCCGTGTGTAGGAATTATTATTATAAACTACATATTGAGATCTATCAGAAATACTACTTTCAAACCAAGATGACAGACAAATTTGAGTGTTGTTCTAGTTTCCGAGTGTTGATTCAACACACCGATTACTGAGCTGGGAGACATTGCCAGGCATAGCGCCAGGTGGAGGGGAATAAATCAAAACTTTATTTATTTTTTTTTTTTTTTGGTGTACCGTGTATAAACCGCACCCCCGACTTTGAATTTTTTTTTGGCGGCAAAAAGGTGCGGTTTATACACCGTTAATTACGGTATATTTTTTTTTTTTAAATTCTAGGTGAGTTCGTCACATGGTTTGGTGTACATCCTGACAAAGATGGGCAGAGTCAAGCTGTGTGACCTAGAAACGGGGACATTCCTCAGTAGCTGCATAGCATCTCATCTCACCGTCTTCACCTGTATGCCAGACACCGATGGGAGGAAAATCTTGGGGGTCAGCCGCTGTGGCAGGGTAGGTTGGTTTATAATGTACTGGTAGTAGGGTTAGGATTGGGGTAAGGGTGGGTGAGGTTTAGGGTAGGGTGGGGGTTATCTGTAGAGCATCAAATCTCACTGTCTTCACCTGTATGCTAGTCACCAATGGGAGGGAAATCTTGGGGAATGAGTCGCTGTGGCAGGGTAAGTTAGTTTGTATGTACTGGTAGAAGGGTTAGGGTTAGCGGTAGGGGTAAGGTCAAAGTTAGGTTTAGGGTTAGGATAGGGTTAGAGGTAGCTGTAGAGCATCGCATCTCACCGTCTTCACCTGTATGCCAGACACCGATGGGAGGAGAATCTTAGGAGTCAGTCGCTGTGGCAGGGTAGGTTGATGTACAATGTACTGGTAGAAGGGTAAGGGTTAAGGTAGGGTTAGAGTTATCTGTACGGCATTGAATTTCTAAGTCTTTCACCTGTATGCCAGACACCGATGGGAGGAGAATCCTGGGAGTGAGTCGCTGTGGCAGGGTAGGTTGATGTACAATGTACTGGTAGAAGGGTAAGGGTTAAGGTAGGGTTAGAGTTATCTGTACGGCATTGAATTTCTAAGTCTTTCACCTGTATGCCCGACACCGATGGGAGGAGAATCCTGGGAGTCAGTCGCTGTGGAAGGGTAGGTTGGTTTAAAATGAGCTGGTAGTAGGGTTAGGGTAAGGGTGGGTTAGGTTTAGGGTAGGGTGAGGGTTATCTGTAGAGCATCAAATCTCGCTGTCTTCACCTGTATGCCAGACACGGATGGGAGGAGAATCTTGGGGGTCAGTCGCTGTGGCAGGGTAGGTTGGTTTGTATGTACTGGTAGTAGGGTTAGGTAGAGGGTTACTTTTAGGATTAGGGTTATCTTATAGAAGTTAGGGTCATAAAGAAACAAATTCTTATACATGTACTGTACAACAAATTCAAGCTCAGGGCCCTGTTTCATAAAACTTGTTATCAATGACAAGTTTCAATAACTGTTATAAGCTACTGAAATCGTGGCATTTGATTGGCTGAGAGCAAATTCCCATAGAATTTTTGAATTTGTTATTGATAACGAGTGTTATGAGACGGGTCCAGACTAACGTGGGTGTTCAAAAACTGCAAAAGAAACAATTTGTACATTATTTTGTACTTCCAAATTTTTTTTTTTATGTTTCCACTTCGCAGATATAATCTGCAACATTCTTAAATCATGATGTAATGCTGAGGAATTAAAACTCTGGATTGGATTATAGATATAAACACATGGAAATGATGATTAATCTTACTTGTCTTTATTTCTTTCTTTTGTAGCTTCTATCCATGGGTGTGAAGGAGAAAGCGTTGGTCTCTCACGTTCGGACGGTTCTAAAACGGCCTGCGATCGCGGACAGATTAGAGAGGACGTTTTCAGAGACGCTCTGACACCAATCTTGCCTTATATTATATATGAACATTATCAATGTGTGTGCTGGCATACAAGGTTAACCTGCAACTAAGATGCGAAGGTTGTTGGTGTGGTGTCATTATAGAAACTGCATGATAACGGATGGATGGGACTGAACTGAGCGAAAGATGGCATCCTTCTCGTGAATTGATGGAGGACCAAGCATGAGATGGAGGTTGGTGTTCAAGGCGTTACCCTGGCGTACCTCAACGGTCTTTGGTCAAGCTTACCCACAGGCTTACAAAGGTTGAATGGGACAGAGATGATCGAAGGATGGCATCCTTCTCAAGAATAGATGGAGGAGCAAGCGTGAGATGGAGGGTAGCATCTATGAGAGGCATCATTCTAGCGTACAGTGGATGGTTAAGGGTACTTGTAGATCTTACCTAGGCCTCCCGTGGCCTACCCCAGGTGAAAGGAACTGAGATGGTCGAGGGACAGCATCCCTATTTTGAATCAACGGAGGAGAAAGTGTGCAAGATGGTGTTGGCAACTTGGGCATTCCTTGCCCTACCCTGGCCTGTCTTTGGTAGATTTGAACCCTGGCTCACTACTACCCTGTGTACTAGAGTGTTCCAGCCTGGTCATCCTTCACATCCAATTTTAGTCTGGGGGTATAGTGGAAACGCACCAATCATCGTTCGGAAAGGATCATGAATCGTTGATTGTGCTGCAGTGGGAAAGGATCAAGGCATTTATGAATTGGAGGGCTTGAGAAATTACGGCATGAAATATTCCCATCACAGAGATAAAAAGACTTTGGGGAAACATTTTTTGTCATTAGTATTGACATCTTTCCCAAAATGGATGAAAGAATTACAAGCTTTTATTATTTGCAGGACCTGTTGGGATGTGTACATGTAGGCTTGAAACGGCCATCGCAGGGATAAAAAGACTTTCGGCGGACGTGTTAGCATTTAATCATTTGTATTCATATTATTTGAAAATGGATGTGAAACGTGATGTCTTTTGCAATGAATCATGTTTGTATCTCGTTCATTCTATTTATTTATTTTTTAAGCCAAGGTTCCGTCTCACTTGTGTTACATTTTGAGGTGAATTTTTGTTTGTTTTTAAACTCCACTTTTGCAAAGTGAGCTAATAAATGTGTACTGAGAAGTGGGAATGTGCAAGAAACTATGTTTTAAGTAAGATGTATGTTGTATGTTTCATGTTCATTATGATATTAATGATGACCCAAAGTGGTGCATAACTGAGCAGACTTTCCTATTCCTCCTCCCGCTTTTCTATCCATTGCCAAGTGGAGTCTGTTATATTTCTGTGGGATACCCTCTCACATTTTACCTTCATACCTTCAATGTAAAGACCATTTCTTGAATGTTCTCATCTTCTCCCTTTCTCTCTTTTTTAATATCCCCGTCCTTTGTAATCATTTCCTTCCTTTTTTCTCAAAGATAAGAACTCTACTCTACAAACTTCACTTAAGGGGTCTAGATTGAAATATGTTAGGTCTGTATCAAACCTTTTTTTCTTCTTCAAAATGTTCAGAGTCAAGGCCCTGTTTCACAAAACTTGTTATCAATAACAAGTGTCACAGATCTCTGACAAAATGGCTCATAGCCAATCAAGTGTAAGGATTTCAGTAGCTTATAACAATTATCGTACCTTGTTATTGATAACAAGTTTCATGAAACAGGACCCTGGAGTTGAATGTTGGAGCCAAGATTACTGGACCTCCGTCAATATTGAGCACTGCTATAACTACACTCCCAATCTCAATATATATTACATATGTCCAAATATCAAATGTCCACATGTCATGGAAGTGATTATCGTGATCACAACTCTTTAACATCGCTCTAGCTTTGCTAGTTTTAGGAAATTTCAATTGTTATTTTGCAAACTCAACTTCTGTGATTGGCAAACTCCAAAAGAAAATTGTGGTCATTGGCATGATTGCCATTCACGATGTACATTTACATCAATTACAAGTGTTTTCCAATTTCAAGCGAATCGCTTTTATAGTTTTGTCTACGGTACTTGCACTTGTTTTGATTTGATTTTATTGGTTTACAACTTTTCGAAAAGATTTACTTTGAAATTGCAAACCACAAGCGATTCCAGACAGCTTTCTTCATGAAAGAGAACCAATAAGGTTCATATTCTATTTTTATATATGGAGGTGTGATGAACATATTGAGTTTTCAGTTTTCAGGAAAAATATACACTGCATTTGCTGTGAGGCACAAAGTGGATTGATGCAGGGTTTTCGTTTTAGAGTTACTTTGATAAGAGATTATTTAAATGTTCGCTCAGTTTAATACTGCTCATGGTTATTTTCAGATTTTTGTTGCTGTTTGTTCATTTCGTCGGGCGGGTGGCAGAAGGGCGTTACGGTTAGCGCAAGCGACTCAAAAACTACTTTTCAAATTATTCCCATTTAAAGATTTGTTTTATAGTTAAACTGCTTTCCGTCCCGAAAATTGGTTTAAAATATAAAAGACTAATAGAAATGTTATAATAGTACAAGGCCACAATTTTTAAAAGGAAGTAAGTCAGTTTTATAAAATTTTGAGGCGATTAAGTGCTAATGCCCTTCTGCTTAGCGCTTCATTTTTTACCTGAAATTCGAGCTAACGCCCTTCTGCCAGCCAGGCGACGATTCAGTTTTGGTTGTTATCATGGGAGGGGAAAAAACATGGATATTTAGATGGAAGTCTTAAAGCTGAGAAAAGACTGCATGTGATGGATGTAGAAAAAGGAAGCAAAACGCTGGTGAAGTTCAGGAGAGGTTAATGAAACAAAAAAAATTGATGACGAGGGTCGATTCTCATGTACAAATAAAAAAACTTATGTGCAATTTTGTATGAATATGGGTTGTTCAACTCCAGTTTATTGTAGTATATTCATTCTAGATTTGTAATGTCTATAAACATTGCAAGTATGTGTGGTACCAATTATGACCATGAAGATATAATGTATATTGTTGTCCAAAGTTTGTCAAAGAGATTAGACCACCAATTTTTATGTGAGTGAATGATGTAATGTTAATCTGTTAATTGAGGTCAACAACATGGTGCTGTTTTTAAATCAAGGTTTTTACTTTGTATTGTAAGTTGTGACATGATATAAAGATAACCATTAATATCATGCCCTTACTTGTGCTTTAACATGATTGAAATGGATTTTTTTTTTTGTGTCAAGACTCCTCCTAGCAGTGCACCTTAGTGTTTTCCACGATCCAATGCCTTTTTTTCTGAGCAGGATGTTTTTGTTTTTTATGATCCCCCCTTTAAATTATGCTCGCTTAAAAAAAGAAGAAGGTTGAAAATGTGGATTATCTGCATGACTCTTTACTCATCTATTTTTGCTTTAATGAAGGGTGAGATTTTTTGTTAAAATGTTACACTATCCATTAATGTAAAGACCGTCATCCTCAAGGGAAACAAGCATCAAATTCAACATGTACTTAATAATTACTGGTAAACATTTTTTAGATGTTTTGAACCTTATTTTTGTGGTAAAATAATGTGCGGCAGTCAAATTGCAAGAATGTATAATCATGAGTTTCAAATGCACATTCTATGATGATTTTAATGTCAATTTCATCATTCATTTTGTCTTCAGTTGCTGTTTCATTAACGTCATTTTTCTGAAAGGTCACACACTTGTCCATTCTCAGGGGTTTATGTTGCATGAAATTATTGCGATAAAAATTCAGAGAATCTTAGAAGTGCAGTTTTAAATGGGTTGCGATCAGCCTGAGCATTGTGATTTTAAATGTGTCTACTTAATTTTTCCAATTACCCCATTTTAAAACATGATTATCATTCATGAACACATGTAAATTTTTGTTATGACCTCCGATGTCAAACGCTTTAGAATTATTGCTGTGTTAATTGAACAAAACTTGCAACTACTGTGCATTGTAAAGCGAACATAAGCTGATAATGCATTAGATGATTTGTTCTCCCTATACATGTAAGTAGCAAAAAGTTTGTTGCTTTCACCAGCTTTGCATTATCATGAAGGTGTCATCCGAGGATGCCAAGGTCAGCGGTTCAAGCCCCGGCATGAAACCTGTCCTTAAGCAAGGCATTTAATATACATCGCTTCCCTCCACCCAGGTTTATAAATTGACGCCCGGTTGCATGTGAATGTCATCTTTAATGGATTAGCATGTGAATGCCTGTGTAATAAAATAGGGATGAGGTGGAATGCTTGCCATATGGAGTGGAGAGGTGTCACATTAAGTACAGATTCGCAAATGAATCCAGTCAACAGGGGCCCATTGCATAAAACTTGTCATTCATGGTAACTTTGCCATCAATAGTAACTTGCTGTTGAGTGATGTTGCCATGGTAGTTATCATTTATGCCAAAGTTACCATCGATGGTAGGTTTTTATGCAACTTGCCCCTGGATGATGATATATTGCAAAGAGCGTTGCTCATCTGGAACTGCAAAAGCGGTATCATTATTTGTATATTTCTTAAGTGAGAATGCAGGTTACAAGCATTATTTTTTGCAAGTTTGTATGAACACCCGACTACATGTAGCTTGTGACCTCTTGAGACGGAAGACCAAGATGGTTCAATATGTGCTTTTTTAAGCAATATATATTGTACTTATGCAATGAGCTGGCTCATAGAGGTTGTGTGCATAAAAGGTATGTTGGCACCGATTAGCTAGGGTACAGATTCGCCCCCCCCCCCCCCCCTCCTTAGCTTCGGAGTATGGATGTTAGTAATATTGTACTCCAATGATACCATTTTATGTTGATGTAACAATGTTATTTATTCTCTACAGTGCAATAACTATTAATATATTACATATTTTAAGCAAAGGAAAGCATCAATAATGCCTGCTCAGTGCTTTATCAAGCACATATTATATTGCTAGATAGGAGAGCATTACTTAATGAATTTGAACATGTCAATAATTCAGAATAGGAGGTTCGTTTTGTAGAGAGATAGGGGGAAATACAATACACATGTGGCAAGCTATGGTATAAAACTCTTCAGTCTAATTTCATACACATTCATTCTCTTGTTTAGAAAGAATCTGAATATCTCATTATTTAGCCAGACGCATAATGTATGAAAACATGCCAAATATGTTTAACAGCTACATAAGTTCATTTTTAATTTCCACGGCAAGATGTACTTAATTTTGTATTCTGAAATGTTGATACCTTGGGCTAGTTTAGCTTCTACATAAAAGGTATACTTTACTAACAATATTTAATGGTTACAACAAAAAGAAAACTTTTGATCATTAATAGTGAAATTAGGGAGTATAATAAACTGAATTTGTTCCTTTTGCATGGGATCCATTTTATATAAATATTTTGTTTTAATTGTAGTCATCCCTTTGGCATTAAGCATGCATGAAGTTCAAGTGTATTTATTTTACATTAACCATGTTCTTGTACATGTATTTTGAAAGTAATTAATGATAACCGATCACCTACTGGAACCAGCCGTTCCCTGTATGAATCCAATGGGAAGTATGTAATTCATTAATTCAACGGGTTAATGATGATTATATTATGGGATGGATAGAGATGCCATGTAACAATTAGGCAAATTAAGCCCACCACTCACTACATGTATGCTATCAGACTGTGATATACTAGTAATGTGTGAAGAAATTCCAATGGCGCTTGGCGTAAAGATCCAATCATGTTAGCACTTTGATGCGTCACCAAAAAGGTTTCAAGATTCCATGAATAAAATACGCCC